TGCCAGGTGCCTGCCAAGGTGGTGGCAGGAAGAAGGTGATGGCCCCAGCCACCAGCTACGCCCTCCCTGGGGGCAGAATCTAGCTGGGCCTAATCCACAGTGTCCTGAGAGCGAGGTGGTGGCTCCAGAGGTTAATCCAGGTCCTCCCGAAGGTGACGACCGAAGACCCCACTCTCCCGGGACCTCACGGTGGACTCCTGGCTACTGCCGTCCACCCCGCAGCCGGGGTCCGCACTGACTGGGCCATGCCCTGGACACCACTCCTTGTTTGGGGCTTAAGGCCAGGACTGCCAATGACGTCTAGGGTCGCACAGAGGCAATGGTCCTGCCACCCCAGGCCCTCGGGCTGCTCCTTGCAGATGTAAACCCTCGACTTCAAGCCTGAGAGCTGGGAGCAACCTCAGGCCTTCCCCGTGAAGGGGCACCAGGAATCCCACAGGGGGTTCTGGGTCTGAGCTGAGGCCAGGCAAGCATGGTGGCGGTGAGAGCTTGTAGGCTTCCCAAGGAAGCTGGGTTTGGGAGATCAGCCAGGACATGGGATCATGGGAGGGCCCAGGAGAGATCTCGAAGGGGGCAGAGCTGGCACAACCAGGGGAGCGGTGGAGGGTGGGGCAGGGCCCAGCGGGAAAGCCCGAGCCCCCAAGGCCGCAGAGGCTGCGTGCACACAAGCCTCAGTGCCGCCATGCGCAGGCTCTGTCCAGGCACGCCTGTCCCAGTTACCCGTTTCTGGTGAAGATCAGGCTGAGCTGAAGCAGAGGAAAAGGGCAGCAGCCGGGGTTGCTGAGCCCAGCTCGTCTCCCACCCCTGGGGGACCGGGGAGCTTGGACCAGAGAGAGGTACAGCCCTCCCAGGGGGGCCCAGAGGCTCTTCTTCATCAGGCCTGGACAACAGAGGCCTGCCCAGACTTCCTTCTGCTCAAAGAGCCCATGGTGCAGAGCAGAGCAGGCGGCCAGAGTTCTGCCTGGGATCTGGCCGCCCCAGGGTGGGGACGGCCACCCTGGAGAACGAGGCAGCCGCTTCTGTCCTGCGAGCTCTGTGCTGGCCCAGGGCACTGTCCAGACCACCCCTCCTTCCAGGGAGCAGCCCCAGGCCTCGACCTGGAGCGGAGCTCCCCTAGCCCAGAGGGCCTTCCAGAACCCTGCCAAGTGTCTGGGCCGAGTGGGGACCAGCACGCACCTCACAGGCCGTGTACAGGGACAGTCCGAGGGTGGTTAGGGGCCGTGTCCTTCATAAGGTCAGCAGACGGACGGCTCCCTCAGCTCCCACCCAGTGGGGAGGGGAGGTTCCACGTGTCACCCACAGGAGAGGATGGAGGGGCAGAGGGGCCTGGCCGAGGCCGGGAGGCCAGTGACAGCCATGAGGGCTCTGTAGAGCCACTCGGTGCCCTCCGTCCAGCAGGGATGCTGGGTGCTGTATGCAGAGAAGCCTTGGCTAAAGAGCCAGCCACCCTGCCCTCCTGAGGACACCAGCACTCCTGAGGTCACTTCCCATGACCTCCGCAGTGTCCACTTCCTCCTTCAGGCTGCTGCCTAAGGGACTCCCCGGTCTCCCAGCAGAGCTGGGGGGACCTTACATCCTCCGCAGCCCCCCGTCACATGCCTTCCGGGTGCCTGGGCAGGCCAGGGTGTGACAGCCCCAGCCCCCGGCCCTCCTGCTGTGCTGCTTGTGGGGCTTTTGGTCTCCCATGTCTCACTGCCCATGAGACAGACCTTGTCCTTGTCGAGTGGGGCGTCGCTACAGTGGCAGCCTAAGCAGGCCCAGGAGGGATGACAAAGGACTCCAGCAGCTGTCTCTGTGAACAGAATGAAACTTAGGAAAGGGGGTGCCCACCCACAGGGGCTGCAAGAGGACCCAGGCCAGCAGGCCTGCCCCCACCACCTGGGAGCCCCGGCCTGACCTTCTGAGCAGTCAGGAACCCTGCCCCTCTCCAGCCAGAGGCCGGGGCACCCGAGCTAGCAGCATGAGCCTGCCAGGCCCTGGGGTCGCAGCCAGGAGGACGGAGGGCGAGGAGCGAGCCCAGCACGCCGCCCACTGCACCTCTGCTCACATGCTGGCAGAGACAGAGGGCCAGTCACGTGCCCTCGGTCACACTCGCTGGCTTACATGACCCTTCTTCTGTCATACATCGGTGCCCCCAAGTCTGGACCATTGCAGCCAGAAGGAGGGGCTGGGGCTGCAGTTGGAGTCACCTCTGCCATGGTGTCCGCTAGGGCACAGAGCATGGTAGGGCAGGGACAGGGCAGCGTTGCCTGGACAGCGGCCTGGCCTGGCTCCCGAGGCTCCGGGGGGTGGTGCCAAGCTGTGCCTGGCCGGGTCCAAGGGCGGCCCTATCCCTGGGCCGTGCTGTCTCCGCAGCCGGGGGCCTGATGGGAGTGGAGCAGGGCAGGGAGAGGCAGCTGTGGCCTCGGGTCAGTGAGGTCTAGGCGGCCACCCACTCTGCTCCTCCCGGCGCCCCCTGAAGTGCGTTCCCATCTGCACATGTAGCTGCTCCCCCTGGCTGGAGCCCCCCCTGGCTGGAGCCCAAGCTCTGTCTGGCTGGGGGCTGACACCACGCCAGGAACTTGGAAGTACCCCGGTGGAGTAAGGCCTCTTGGCCACCAGGAGAGCCCCAGACTTGCTAGTCCAGAGCTGTACCCACATGCAGAGCCCCCGCCTGTGACCGAGAGCAGGTGCCATGCGGAGTTCTCCTCTCAGGGTCTCCCTGCAGATCTCGAGCGGTGCGCGAGGGTGGGAGTGGGGGGGGTCGGGAGCGTGGTTGGACTCAGCCCGGCTGCCTTCAGTAGGGAAGCACCCCTGCCCCCCGTGAGAGCTGCAGGCCAGGCTTTCTGCTTGCCCTGCCCTCACTAGCATTCCGTCGCTGTCCAGGCGTCCAGACCAGCGCGAACGGCAGGACAGCTTGCACCCTGCAGAGTTCGGGTGCATCCAGGCCTCCTCGGGGAGCAGCAGGCACCTTCACACACCCCACCTGGGGCCTTGGCCCTTGCACTAGCCTGCACCCTGCTCTTGCATCCCCATAAGTGCCAGTCGCGGCTCAGCCCCCACAGAGCCACCAAGGCCAACGGCACCAGGAGAGGAATAGGCAGGAGCCCCCACCCAGAAGTGATGGGGGTGCCCGCAGTGTCTAAGCAACACCCGCCAGCCATCAGAACCCTGTTGGGGACAAGGCACTCCTTCCCTAGAGGAAGGGTCCTGGCAAGACCTGCTATGCCCAGAATCATCATGGTGACAAGTCACAACGGATGCCTGCCTCAGGAGCCACACCCTGGATCGACCACAGTTCAGGCTCCTAGGCCCACGAGGCCCTGCCGGGTCCCAAGGCAAGACCCAAGTGGAGGGGGCAGCAGGGGGGGTAGGGGGCGCCTAGCCCCAATGAAGAGGGGGTAGTGGAGGGTTAGCGGGGCACATAGCCTCAACGTAGAGGGGAGAGCTGGGAGTGTGCCTAGCCCTGCTGGGTGGCAGGCAGGCAGGGGGGCGGGAGCGGGCCAGGGTGAGCAGGCAGCGTGCAGGCCGCGGGGCTGTGAGTCACAGGCTGTGACGCAGCGAGGTGAGTGGAGGGCAGGCCCACACACTAATGGCCCCCAGGCTGTGCCCCCTGCCCCCTTGGGAGCCCAGCAGTGGCTCCCAAGCCCTCAGGTTTCCAGCAGGGGTGCTGGCTCACCCCCATGGGCTTGCTTCTACTGGGAGGTGAGACTAGCCAGGAAATGTGGGCACCTTATTTCCACTCGGGGGCTCTGGAGCTCTCTGCCAGCTTACTGCCCCCCCCCATTTCTACCACATTTCTACCTCCAGGCCTAGAACCGGCCACGGGGGTGCACCCAGGCTGCTGCCCCCACAGCGGGTGGAAGGTTGGGGGTGGCACAAGAAAGGAGATGCCCTCCAGGTGCCAGCAGCGGGGTTCCAGTGCTGCCTCGTTCCCCACAGACCAAGTGGGGGGACCCTGCTCCCGCCCTCCCAGCTCTGACCTTCCCAGGGGCCAGGGCAGGCAGACCAGCCTGGATCTGACGCCACCCCTTCGGATTTCAGGGCCACCTGGCAGCCCCAGCCTACGGGCTCCGCCCGCTCCAGTGTCTGTGTCTCCAGCACCACCTCCTCCCCAAAACAAACGCACGGGGAACGGGCCTGGAAAAAAGGGCCACCTCCCTGCGGGCTCTCCGCAGGGCTGGGAGAGGGCGAGGTTCACCTTGGCCAGGACAGCCCTCGCCCCGCACCCTCCGCACAAAAGCATCAGGTGGGAGCCGGAGCTAGAGCCACGGCCGGGGAGGGCGGAGCCGCCCCGGCGGCGCAGGCGGCGC